GGCCCCCCCCCCCCCCCCCCCCGGCCCACGGTGCTGTTCTGGCCTCTCTTCCCTGAGCTGGTGCTCCGAGGAGCCCAAGAGCGAGTGAGGCCGAGGCAGGGAAGCTGAGGGTCGAGCCTCTGCGGCTTCGCTCCCCCATCCATCCCCTACCCCCAGGCACCTTGCCCAGCAGAGTACATGAGAGGGAGGCTTCATCGTCCTTTTCCTCTAAAACAGAGACAACGAGAAAAACACAACACGCCATCTGGGGGTCCAAAACGAAACACCAAGGACAATGTTAATAAATACATAAACGTGTAAAGATCTGGATCTCAGAGGCACGGGAAGTTACACCCCTAACGCCGGCAGGCTGGGTCTCACAGGAATGATTTCAGTGTGTGCCCCAGCGGCCCAGGGAGGGGGTGGCAGCGGGTGGAGAGGACGGCTGGGGAGCCCCCTCCGGGCCTCTGTTCTCTAGGGGTTGTGGGGGTGGGGACCCACTGCTCCTAGGCCTCTAGCCTGGCTCAGAAAGGCCCCCCTGCCCCCAGGAAGGCAGGCAGGCAAGCACCTCTGTCACCTGCTGAGGAGTCCGGGACACCCTCTGTGTGACTGGGAATAAGGACCCTTGGGAGAAATCCTGGCACCCCAAGGGGCTTCCTGGGAGCCAGGGGGTCTAAGGAAATTACCTGCCTTTGGAGGTAACACGGAGGGTAGCTGAGGTCCCACTGTGCTGTGGGTCATGTCACCTCCCTCCCCCCCGCCGGGCATGGGGCAAAGGCTCACATCCTGCCCTGGGGCTTGGGCCTGGGTGGACTGTGGTCCTCAGCCTTGGAACCTGACTGCACCCCATTACCCTAGCACCACAAACTTCTGGCCCAGCTCTGGCCAGGTGGGAGAAGACCCCTGACTCCAGCAGGTGTGGTCTTCGGCAGAGAACGATGATGGATGGGGCACAACCTGAGAACTCACATCCCTGTGTCCCAGAGAGTCACCTTCCGGGCCGGGCTCCTTTCATGCTGCAAAGTGACGACCGAAGTTGACCTTCCTGGTGCAGCCAGGGGTCTAGCACCAGTTGTGAATGCCCCGGATGATGAGAACACGCATTCCAGACTGTCCGGGGCCCCCTTCTCTGGGCTGGACCGGGTGAGGTTGGGATGCACCGGAAGTAACAGGAGGTGCCATGTGCGTGGGGCAGAGGTGGTCACCAACACTGCCTTCCGGCCAGCAAGGGCGAGGTGGGTTCTGGCCTTGGCCTTGGCCTTGGCTGGAAGAGCTGTGTGGCGCTCTTGCTATGAAGAGCTGGGCCTGAGACAAACTCGCCTCCCACCCACCCCAGCCCTGCAGCCTGAGCGTCATGACCACACTCACCCCTCACCCCCTTCCTCATGGACTGCCCTGAGAGTGCTCCCCCCTCACCTTCCCTGGTCCCGCTTTGCCTCTCTGGGCAGAGAGACCAGATAGACAGGACCTCCATAGTGGACCCCACAAGTTCTGGCAAAGGCAGGCAGCTGGAAGGATCCGGGGTGGGGGGGGGTGTGCTAGCTGGCCCTCAGTCCTGCCAAGAGACAGACGGGGAGCCCCTGAGAGGTGCGACTGTCCCCCTGGCTGCTTGCTGAGGTATCTCCGGTTAGGGCTTCCCCTGATCTTTTTCTTCCTCACGCTCCCGCTTCACGGGCTCAAGTGTCACAGCCCCCAAACTAGAACAACAAGAAGGCAAATAATTTAGAAGGAAGTCTGTGTTTGCCACTGCCCCCGCTGCGTGTCCTCTGAGCTGGCGGTCTCTGAGGCAGCACACAGTGTAAACTTGACTGCAGGGATAGGCGAGGCGGGGCTCATGTCCCCAGGGAGGTGGCGGGAAGGCTCGTGCCTGGGTGCTTCGGGTCTTCCCCGAGCCGCCCTTTTTCCTCGGAGACTGGCACAGGTGCCCTGGTCCAGCCCCAAGGCAGTCCCCGGGGGGTGCCAGGGGAGGTGCCCCCAGCCGCTCTGGGGCCCAGTGTCTGGGGAGTAAAGCGGTGCTGGGTCACCGGGGGGCTGGTGCCCAGAGGTCTCGGGAGTTGTGTGGGCTGGCCGTGCTGATGGGCATCTGACCCTGTTGTTCCCACAGTGGGCTCCACAGCATCTGGAGGGGACTTCGGACTCCCGGGAGTAGAGAATGGCGGCGGCGAGGCCAGGCCAGGGTCCGGGCTGGTGTCGGGGCCCAGGGCCGTCTTGGAACAGGACTCACAGCACAGCCGGTGGTAGCCGGGGATGGAGCAGTAGCGATCGAGTGCTTCCGTCTGGCAGAAGATGGACCGGTCCCCCACGCAGGGCTCCGCTGCATGCATATGGCACAAGGACCACTGCCGGGAGGACGCCTCCATCTCCCACTCGGCCCCCCCAACCGCCGGCCTCCAGCTCCCGCCCTTGCTGGACCTGCTCTAAAGCTTTGCCCTGGAGGGCGCCACGGGCCTGCCTGAAGGGAGAGACTGGCCAGAGTAAGAGCCCTTATTTTACGGAAGAGGAACTGAAATCCCCTAGAGCAGTGGTTCTCAAAAAGGGTCTCCACACATGAAGCATCGGCATCGTCTGGAAGCTGGTGAGCAATGCCAATTCTCAGGCCCCATCCAGACCTACCGAGTCAGAAGTTCTGGGCGTGGGGCTTAGTTCTGCGTTTCAACGAAACCTTCAAGTGACTCCAATGCGTGGACCAATCTGAGAACCACGGGCCTACATCAGTAGTCGTCAGATGTGGCTGCTAAGTGGAATCCCCCAGGGGCTTTCCAAATAGGCACTGCACACCTCCCACGCCCAGGGAGACTGGACGGCCAGTGTGGCCTGGGCACTGGGTGGTTCTGACCTGCAGCAAAGCTTGGAAACCCTGCTCTCGATGAAGTAGGAATCCTGGTCCCCTCCCAATCCACCCAAAGGAACTGATCCACTCGGGCCAGGGCCAGGCAAATGCCCAGGTAACCCACACTTGGGACAAGCCGAGGCAACATCCTGCCACCCGTCAACACACATTTGGAACACTAAGCCCTCCACCGATAAATCTGGAATCAAGCAGATCTGGGTTCCAACTGAGGCTCCACCACTGAAAAAGTGTGAGCCCTTGGGCAAGCCACTGAAGCTCTCCAACCCTCAGTCTCCTCTCCTATAAAATGGGGATAATGCTAGACACTTACAATGAACAATAACATTATGATTATAAATAACATTTATAAAGTTCCTGGCATATAGGGGTGCCCACTGCATAACTTTCATTTGCTTGGGTTCAGATATCTAAAAATCGTTTTGTGTTTCTGTGATAATTCCAGGTAGGTCTCTCCAGACAATGTGAAGGCAGGAACTTTGCTTTCTGCTAATTTTCTGTGTGTGTGTGTGTGTGTGTGTGTGTTTAGGGACGGGGCAGAGGGTTGGGAGCTCGTTTAGGGCAACAGGAAAATTAGGAAAAAAAAAAAAAAAAAAAAGGAAAGCCAGTGGCCTCTAGATGGCGCCAGAATTCTAGGACCAGAATCAGAGCCGACCCTTTGCTCCTGGACAGAAAAGGGAAGGATATCTGGCACTTGTGCAGCCTGGGTCTCAGAACAGGGGCGGAGCTGCATCAAGTGAGATGATTGATGAGCTGAGCTCAGAGAGGTTTAGGGATCTGCACATGGTCACATAGCCAGTTGGTCCTCCAGCTAGAATTTACAGTCTGTGATTTTTCTGCTACTTGTCTTGTCAGACCCTGGTCCTTGAGAAGATGAAGTAGGAAAAGAGAGAGAGAAAGAATCTAGGAAGGAAGTATATGGCCTGGTATATAGCAGATGCTCAGTTAACGTTAATGGATGGATGGATAGGTAGATGGATGGATGGATACATGGATGGTGGATGACGGATGATGGATGGATGAATGGATGGATGGATGGATGGGTAGATGGATGGATGGATGGATACATGGATGACAGATGATGGATGATGGATGGATGGATGGATGGATGGGTAGATGGATGGATGGATGCATACATAGATGACGGATGATGGATGGATGGATGGATGGATGGATGAGTAGATGGATGGATGGATACATGGATGACAGATGATGGATGATGGAT